GACATCAATTATCAGGTCTGACGGCATGGTTGCGATGCAAATGACGAGGTCCCCCGAGAGCCCGCGAGAGGATCCCATACTCAGGTCAGCTAGCTATTTCAAAGCCCTTCTGGACACAAGGTCGCTGAATATAGTGTAGGCGGCCGGTCACAAACACGCATGCAAAGGTGTCGGGACCAAAGTTCCCACTAAAAAATATTCTGGTTCATCTACACGGAGGGCCATAAAGTAAGAATGGCATAGAGTTAGGGCCACGGATAAATCGGGAGATGTTATGGCTGCTCGGTGGAGATCGACACGCGAGTTCCACGCTGATGATTCAAACGGGCCATGTAGATTCGCAGTCGTAAATTAGAGTTGAGTACCTAGCGTCCTTCCCTCTTTCTCCTGCTTAGAAGGAGATCCGAATACTACCGTTCTACTACTTCTGCGCATCAACGAGTCGAAACCTCGACAGGATCCCGAGGGACTGAGCAACGACATGTTATGGCGATGCAGACAACCTGAATCCTGGGGATTCTTAGCGCGTTTGCCGCGGAGTCCACGGGTTCATCCAGAGTATGTTGCCCCCAATCCAGACGATCTACGGGGATCGCTCCTGGAAGTTCGCTCCCGAAAGACACAGAAAGCTCGGATTTTCCAAGTGACTGGCATACAAGATCGAAACATTTTGAAATGACGTCGTTGGAATCGTGACATACTTTCGGAGGCGACGCTCGGCTCCATTCTTGGAATCCAGCCGCTGGAATGCGTGCGAGCACTGATTCCTTGAGCTAGAGGGACACTAAAGTTTTCTGAAAACTCTTTGAAGCGCTACAACGGATGTAGTCGTGAGGACGGTGGATCCAGGTGTGTAGACTATGTACATCTCAGCTAGAATACCACAATGAACCTCGAGGGTCTGTGGAGTCGGCTCGGGAATCTCGCGAAGTTCGAGCGACAATACATACACCGAATAGGATCATGCCCCCTAGAAGCCGTGCGATGTATTCATGCTCTTTCTCGATCATTCTCTGCATCCGACGCCTCCGACGCATTATGCTCGTAAATCGGAATCTCACTGAGGCAGGGAAGGAATGAATTTTAGGGTTGATGGCTCAGTCGATAGGAATGGGGCCGTATTTTCATGTTCGACTCGTTTCGCCAATTCTGTTATCCCCGAGTCTGAATTCCACGGGAATTCCATCGCTGGCAGCGGGAGATCATTTAGGAGAGCGCGCTCCCCAAGGTCGATCAAAATGTGTCGAAAGCTGATTTGATGTGCTTGCAGGCGGACAATGGAGAGAGGTCGGAACAGCTTTGCAGCGTGACATACCTGAGTATTTCGTATCAAGTGTAAAATCCTCGCGATGGCCTTATCGTCCTTGGAGACTGTTTTTCACCCGAATGGAAAACTCTCAAAAGGTTGAAAAATACAACAATAAATCGTGTGATTCTAATCGGGTCCATGCGCCCTCCGCTCGGTGCTCGCATTCCAATAGATGATTCGATAGTAAAGAGAATCGTTTGAATCAATCTTTAGGCTCCTAAAAGTGAGGTCGATATACTGCGCTAGCTTCGAGTGCCCGATGGGAACCGCGCAATCAAATCACTGTCGGCGACATGGGATCTCGACCACACATCTGCGAGCGCAAACATGACATAACTAGATGAAATTTATTGGATAGGAGGGATGAACCCGCGAGTTCAGAAGTAAGCCTCTGACAAGATGGAAGAGGAGCAGCGGTTGCGGACAGCTGATCATGGAGCGCTTCTTTGAAAGGAGCATAGCTGCCAATTTGAAGCAGGTCCAACGGCGAGGAAATCCGGACCGGGCGAGTTTTGTGTAGGTGAGCGGTGCGGGAGAATTAGAATGATGTAGATGACGGTGGGAGAGAATCAATCTGGGACACGTCTTTGATCTTTGCTCGTGGGTTGACCATCGGTACCGTCGGACCAATTCTCCCCTTCTTATGTTCACGAGTTGGACGCGGCGTTGAAGCGACCTCGTTGGGGTACTCGAGCTCGAATGTATCATACGATGCTCCAGGGACGAGCTGGAACGCCCTCTGGGATACCCGGATACATCCTTTGAAAGGTCTTCATGCAATAGCCGGGAACGTCCCTGAGAGGTGACCTCGGGAAGATTCCTCCCGACTCTCGAGGGGCGTATCATATATCCAGTATCTGGACTCGTCTGAGGAGAGCTATCACAGAACACAGCGTAGATCCCAGAAACCGCGAACCACCTCTCATGCTCTGAGATATCCCTGAAAAGCGAGCAGAACACAGAACGATCGGTGCTCCTCCCGTGTGTTCTCATAGGAGCACAGAAAACTGCAATCAAGGGTCGTCTCGTTCTTTGTTCGTCTGAAATGTACATGAATTGACAATTGTTATTCTAATGTGATTCGAAAAACAACGCGCCTCCAGAGCATGAGCCGTGTGGCTCGAAACAGATTCCAGGTGATCAGCGTCGCGTGGACTCGGCCTCGGAATGGGTTTTCTCGGTTCTAGTTGTCTCTGCAAAACCGTCGCTCGAGTTGCGGAGTTACGGCTACTATTGGCAGGTATCTTGGACTTTCCCGCGAGACAACAGCTGACGATGGATCACATGGGTCTCCCTGCGTTCTGCGGACTGGCTTTTCTGATGAATAAACGACCGAGGAATAGTTGTCATTGTCAGACAGAATCGTCGAAGAATTTGCGACAATATCAGCTGCTATCCAACATTGTCGATGAGGCCGATCTGCCCAGCGGAACTTGGGATCGGAGAGAAGAGCCAAGGCCATAGGGGAAGAGGTCAAGGGAGTCCACCATCGGCAGCATTGCGACGTCTCCTCTGCGTGAGGCTCATCGAGCTTTCCGGATATCCTGAGCTCAGAGCGATTGCGGATTCCCCCTCCTGGCAGAACGAAACGAGGTTTTTCCATCGAGACCACCCGCGTCTGAACACGGAAGGAGCTTCACCGGCAAAAAAGCGTTTACACGCGAAAAATAATCTAGTTCGACTCATGCATCACCGCCAACACACCTGTTCAACTACGCCACATCATGTCGAAGGGCTCGATCGGAAGGAATTTCACTCGAATCCTGCCACTTTCTTTCCATCCCTAAACGAGTTTTCCTGTCGAGTGACTCCTGATTTCTATTTCGGTAGTCATTAAGGATTTCGACGCATACACGAGAAACACTCGGAAAGTTCCTGCATCTGTCAGGATGGGTTGCCGGAAGAAATCCTGAAGCGAGCACCTCGAAGCAGATGTTTGAGTCTCCTTCGCCCGTAATTGCGTTTTCGCTTCGGTGGGCTTGGGAAGAATGTTTAACTTGAGCTCCAGGAAGAGAGATGTTCCCGGAGACGCGCTATCGATCCCGGAATGGTTAGAAATTAGAATGGAAGATGATATTCTTCTCATGCGATCGAGACCGATCTTCTGACCATCCGAGCCACGAAGATATGCACTCCTTCCAGTTGTAAGAGGGATAAGAGTCCCGGGACGTTTCCTTTTCCAACATTGTTCGCCTAGAGAATACTCGCACGTGATCATGTCACTTCCCCTTTATTTTATCATCCCGCTGAATTGGTAGGAAGAACATTTTCCGTCTTTCAGGGTTCCTGACAAAGGAACCATTGGTCTCACAACTACCCGAAATTGAGATCAGTCTTGTCGACGCAGATGGTCGTTTCCATGCAGTCGACTACTTATATTCATCGACGAATGCTGTACACCTGTGGAACGGTAGAGCATGAACGGATTCTGACGACATCAAAAACTCACGAAAAATATGATTGAACGATATGATTTGTTCACAAGCTTCCCTGCGACTTCATTCGTCCAGGGAAATATTTCCGCTCCAGCGAAAACAGATTCCCGTCCGCCTATTCGAAGACTGAGCTAAGCGATCTAGAATCGACCATCCATCGCGTGTTCTCAAATGCTCGATTCTTTCAGTAATGTTTCGCTCTGGAATCGACATGAGCAGCGGGAGATCGGGAAGCGATTCTCGTGCAGGCTACCTCGGGAATGGTAAATTTCATTTTCAAGCGGATTCACTCCTCGATGAAGAGGGCGGTCCAAGTAGAATCGTCGCGATCGAACAATGTTCCGTCGTCTAATCAGAAACCCGATCTCCCGAAGTTTTGCGGAAAAAGAAAGGCATGCTCTTACGAGCGGTGAAAAATCGCTTCCGGAAGGACCGTATTCCAAACCTCAGGGTTATTCATCATTTAAGTGCTCAAATCTCATCATCGTTTTATGTATTTGTTTCGATGACACTAATCATAATCTATTCAATTCAATACTCGGCTGGACTCCGACTGTTGTCAGGATGGGGAGCGACTCAGACAGCCTGTCTCGGAGACGGAGGAATTTCGTGTCGGGTAAATTTTCCTAAAGAGAGGGTCTTCCGTCAGAAGACGACAGACTTGCTGAGTCCGGGAGTTGTCGGAGTCTGAAAGACCATGGTGAAGGTACTCCGGAGGAACCGGGCAATGTACATCCGCTGTATCATTGAACAAAGTCTCATATAAGCTACTCTCACGCATAAGCGTTTGATTGAAGGAAGATGCGGTTTATCCATTCAAACCGTGAGGAGGAAGACGCTCTAGTCCTCAGTCTTGTGTACAGTGCGCTTATTTACAGATCAGCTTCTCCGCGACACTTCTCAGCGCCTCCCTGAGAAAACGATATGTGATCTTCGATGCGCCGGAGTTTACAAAAATAAACATTTTTAATACACGATAGTGGATTCTCATTGCTCTCCGACACCACAGAAATAAGATTGTAGCTCCCCTTGCGAAACGGGGAACGAGACGCTGCATAGCAGCGGAAATAATGAAGAATCTGATGAAACGATGTCCGAGAGCAATGCGGCAAGTCAATTCCGAAATAAAGATAAATCGTGAGTATTGCCCCCGCTTCCGTTTGCCCGAGAAGCAAGCGGACACTGCTCTGGTATATTAAAGTCCAACTTAAGCGTAAAACAGCGCCTTCCTTCACGTCCTCCCACGTGACCGTGATCTAAGCGCCGGAGGAGCCAATCCGATCAATTATCTTGAACCGCTTGCGTAGGTTCGAAACGGGATCTTTGAACAGCACGGGATCGTATCGTGCCACAGAATGCGCGAGTGCGACTCGGCCGAACTCGGAGGCGAACCGAGCAACGCATTCCCCACGCTGCCGGAAGTGATCCGGGTCGTTCCATGCACTGGGAAAATGGTTGTTGAGAGCTCCAACAGCTCCTACGCCCGCGTTGCTGGTATCTCGGTATTGCTTTCGTTGCGTGACCTTGACGGGGGGCAGCGACGTGACGTCGGTCACCAGGAAATTCATCAAAATGTCCTCGCAATTTTGAACTTGATTCACAAAGTCGATTAGTCGCGGCGTCAACAAGGACGTAAACAGTGCGTTGTAATACGAATGGTAAAACGCAGCGCTGGTGAGCACCATCGAATACTCATTAGACCATTTCGAGCTGTAACTCCACCGAGATCTTCGTTCATCCCAGAAATGCGAGCGCGCGGGATAGCCGACGATCTGTTGGCGGAATTGTTTCCAGACCAGGAAGGCAAAATCGATTTCCTCGGTGGTAAGCGTGACATCTTCATCTAGGGAAAGTACGGCATCGGTGACGATTTGTTCGAATGGCCTGAAGCGGTCAGACGTTTTCGAAACCCGGATGGGAACAACAGAGGACGGCAATTTGGCATTAAGTAACAGATCTCCATCGGAGAATTTTTCCGTGCGATTATTTTCCCTGGGCTCCCGGGATCGCGGATAGTTTTCCATGTTGAGGAGCAGCAATATTTTATCACAATGTTTCGACTTGAGAACGTTCTTGAGCAGTCGATACAGCTGAGTCTGTGGGAAGCTCTGCCTCGTATACGGCAGGGTCGTATAGACTACCGCTGTAAACTTCGTCAACGACGCGACTTGTCGTTGGTTACCGGTCGACACGTCGGCTGCCAAGGGTCTTCCACAGGACTGCTGACTCCAACAGGAGTTCCACGGCAGGTTCCAACGGCGCCAGGTGAACTCGCTCTGAACACTATGGAGAGCTCCCGGGAACGTGTTCCAGCTCGTGATTGATTTCGCTTGCTCAGATTCTACTCTGTCGGCGATAATTTGCAACGTCGTTTGTACAATTTTTTCTATGGAGTTCAAGTAGCTCCCCCAGAGTATTTGCGATTGCTGTCGAAGTTGGGCGACTCGAGCCGAGTCCGGGGTCAATCCCGAGGATCGCAGGAAGTGAGGCAATTGGAACAGGAGTCTCTCGTCCCATCTGGAAAAGTCGGGGGAAACGGTTGAGGCTCGACTCGACTTTGAATCTTCCGGAAGCAGCATTCGATTCTCAGTTCGACGAAGTTTTCTTTCTTGTATTCACCTTATGGTTGCTGACTTCCAATCGATGACTTCGTCGAAAGGTAGTCTCCAGTCGTTCGAAAGAACTATCGGAATGCAGCCGGCTTGAAGAGACTCCAAAAAACGGAACGACCCGAGGCGTCGACCGCGTGGAACCAGACAGAAAGTCGAGTTCTGCATCAAAACAGTATAGTCTTGCTTGTCGTAGTCTGCGTTATCACTATCACATCTGGAATGAATTGAATACTTGATGTCATAGAGCCGAGCCGAAGGAATCTCTGACGAGAAGACTCTGACGATTTCTCGCGACAGACCCGCGATCCGTTAGCTGTACCTTTCATCTTTCTTCAGCTTCCACTGCTTCCCATGTTTACAGGTGGTGAGAAGAAGAACGTCATTCACATTATTTAGATGGAAAAGGGAATTCCGAATTTCGGATCCGATCCCGTAGAGATATCTGGAACGATAGAATAATTAGCGCCACGGACTCAGATAAAAGTGTGCATCGACCATGGAGGAAACTTTGAGATCGATCCTCTGAATCAAGACCACGGAAAACTCACCTTTTGCCTTTGAAAGTCAGAAGGAATCGTTTCCTCAAGGGCGTGATGATTTTACTCTCGCTCGAAGAAAATCCCGGCTCGCCCCCGATTTCTGGGTGAGTTCGAGGGAATAGAGGAATGGATATGTCGTAGCTGCAAGGACATCATTAGACCCTTAATTGAGGGATGAGGGACGGAAAAGACCGAACTTCCGCAAGATCTCTTTCGAAACGATGAATTATGCTTCCGAGCACATCATCGTACCCAGGTCTGAAGATGGTTTCTGGGGCGGAGCTCTTGGCCAGCATTGCAAGTCCAGGGTCGAACCCCAAGTCCTGTGAGTAGTCCGGCCAGGAACCAGAGAACAGATTGAAAATGAGATGATTCCTGCCTCCATTCCAATGAGGCAGGTTCCAGAGCCTTGCTTGTGCGCTGCGCACATACTCGTCCGAGAGGATGTCCCTAGAAAATTCACGAGAATTCCCATTTTAGGGTGATCTCCGAAATGATTGTAGAAGGTTGGATATTGAGCTCTACATTGGAGGCACAGATCGTCGAGGAGTGGTAATTCCCCCGGAGCTCTCAGTTCCGAGGAATGGAGTTGTCCTCACCTGTCGAGCGTGTCCACGTTAGGCACGAACAGGCACGCCTCTTCAGGATTCGACGTATAGAACCTCGACCGTCGTATAGCACTGAGGAGTTTCATATAGGTGGCTGAGACCGCCTGACCGTCTTCGAGAGGGTAAATGTACACCCGGAATCCATTCCTGCATCGATCGAATTCGAAGCAAGAATGGAATCGACACAGTTCTGGGTGGTTGTCTGTGTTCCTCGAGCTGTTGCGACCTCTGTCCGACCATTTGGAGTGGTACCCGCTCCAGAAGGAGCTCAGTCGATCGAATTGGAAGTCGTCGGAAGTAGTATCTCGCGGAGGTCGATTCCGAGCGTGAAGTATGGCGACTGTCGCTGTGAGGCTCACCACGAGGAATCCCAGAAGGGCATAGCGCTGGAGAGCTCGCATCTCCCGCCGAACCTCGGAGGGTTCTCTCGACAGGTCAGCCAACCTGGAACGGAATTGATCGGCATCGCTTAGGGCACCGACTCGTAAGATCCTGAATAAACACGGAGCATAGCAAATTGATAATCGCGTCTTTCAGTCGAGAAATCGATCGCAGAAATCGTTGCGATCGGCAAGAGAACTTGTGCTTGGTGACTGGCTGACCTTCGACCACCACGCGAAGTTCCCCCGTAAACCTTCCATCCATGAGATTTCTAAGCGAATCTCCTTGCTCACCCTTCGGCTGGCCTGGGGCCGGAGTACTCCGAAGACCCGATGATCACTCATGGATCGGAGCAGCGATAATTGCGGTATAGATCCGAAAGAAGTCACAATTCTTCCGCCACTGTATCAGCGGGGAAGTGGTCGGCCCTCCCCGAAGGAGGGTATTGGAAGTCGACTTTCAGGACTTTTGAAATTCTGTCTCATTTCATCAATATGGCGACAGCAACTTCCCCGAGTCTTCTATCACGGGTGGCGAAAACCCTCCGCGCGTTACCGGGGAAGAATGGCCAGACTCGCGAATCTGCTTTCGTGAACTTTCTCTTCTGGGCTTGATCTGCCGCGGTCTCCCATTGATCACGTTCTCGACGGAGTTCACGTATTCTAGACGCACAGTCGAGTCTTTCGAGCTCGGAGCCATACATTGAGAAGTTCTGGGGGTCGCAATAGCAGCCCATGGGAATGCTCGGATTTCAAATGGCACGCTAAATTTTCCTGACCCACAGACAATCATGGCCCGCGGGAAGACAGCGCATACCAGGTCGGGCTGATTCAAAAAATTATGTACTCTGCTGGAGCGTCCGAGAAATGTCGATGGGGCGAATGGATATATCATTCACATCCAGGTATCGTTGGAGTTATGGCTCACCAGATACCCGACCAAGGAGGAGCGCTCGAGCTCAGGAGGCTCTACCTTGTCCGAATTCGGAAGCATGGCTCGATTTGAGCTGACCCTCGAATTCCCGAATACACTTGGCGCTCCTTGCAACTCTCCTGCTGCAGCTTCCGTTCTCCGACGGTATTTTCTCAATAGATGTTGCAGCCTAGCTCGGCTTGTTTGATTGACATTGTCTGAACCCTATATCGCTCGCTGTAAAGAACTCCATTTCTTTCGGAACCGATTCGCCTCTCTCGCATCGCTTCCAAGAAACTCATCGAGTCCGGCAAGAAACGTTCTGGAGCAACACATGTATCGCGCAGTAATTCGCTCACAACCATTCCATCAGAATGACACTCGAAGCATGGAGAGCTCGAACTGGACATTCGGAGAAGCGAAGGAATAGTGGAAGGCGACGGGCCGCATTCGAATTCCTCGGCTTCCGATTCCCCTGTGTTTTTCCGGAACTCAAACTTGATGGATGCGGAGATCGCGCGCTGAGTTTACTCCACACAGTCCCATCAGAGAGCAGCTCGACGGAGTGATTATCGGGTAAGCTAGTGATTGGAGTTTGGAACTCACCATCAGCGCGCGGTATCACTCCACCGTGGCTCCGAAACCACAGCGTTCTCGCTTCCCCATGGGGTCGGCATCAGTTTCTAAACTTCGAGCTCCATACCGCACTCTCCAAATGACCGTCGGCAGCCAATGGAGCGCACTCCATGAAGTTTGGGAATGAACACGGTTTCTCACTTCTCCACTGTATAGTATCGAGCGCTGCTGACGAGAGAGGGGCTCACAATTGGAAGCAGATCCAGGCTCCAGAGGGAAATCTTGGCCGCAACCGCTGATTTGGCGGGTTGATGATCATCCACATGTTTGTTCAGAGTTTTTGACAGGCTCATACCGAGCTGGAGGCTTGAAGAATCGGGGAGACGGGGCGAAAAGTCTCATCGCAGTAATCTCAATGTCGATCCAAGCTGCCCTCCACGTGAGTTTCCGCAGCATCCCCCAGTGTCCCGAATGCCGAACGGTCGTCGGAATCCCGATTCCCGAAGGAGATGAAAGAAATACAGCAGACGAATTCGACAGGGAGGGAAACAGGCTGGGCCATCGCTTATTTGGATTGCTCGGAGCGGCGCGAAAATTCAAACGCCGGCGGCTCTGAGCTAATCACACGATCACCCCAGATCTATCCCCTGATGACGGATGAGGCATCTGAATGCAGCAAAGATATCCGAAGCAATTTTTTCGAAAATTGAGGGGAGCGTGCCAGACCTAGCCGATTCGATGACATATCGATGACGAGCCACCTAGTGCCGAGAACACTAGCTATGGGGGGCATCCGCGAGTCGGTGGTGGTCCCTCCGTGACCACTTATTATCGCTTACCACTTATCCTATATGGCCCTGGGGCCATAAGAGTGGTAGTTTGGTCCATCGCTTATTAGCAAGCTGTCAACCGACTCGGAGTGGGAATGACATCCTTGCAGTCTGCGATGTATCGGAACTCATAGTACCCGTCACTTCGTGGATTGAGTGCTTGGACTCGTGATCGTCGACTCGTGTCGTGATCTTGCTCAGACGTCGTGCCTTCACAAGGCAAGAAGCTCGCACCGGAAGCGAGCCTCGATAGTCTTGCGTCAGGCCCACATGACGCACGAATGCGAGTCAGGGACCTCAGAACGATTTCGCTTAGGTCCTAGGCGATTTAGGCATCGGGGTAGAGGACTGCATCCTGCTTTCAGGCCGAGCAGTAGCGTCAGGCTGGGTTGGCTATGATGAGAGGCTGTACGCGGCATTCCAGTCTAGCCCCGAATCTAGTCACGCAGGTGTTCTGGCAGACCGTGGAGGGTTTACGATCCCGCTCTGCTGCACCCTCCTTCCAACGAATCGGGGAAATCGTAACGCCGCATGATTGATCTCGTCATGGTTGTGATCAACGCTCTCATCGCGGCTTCCCCGAATTCTGAAGTCCGCGGTTGCCTATTCCATTCAGTGAAATATACGAATAGGGACTCATCGTTCCTGGATCTCCTGCGACGCAAGAACACGGATTTAAAGGTCTCGCTCTAGGCTCCAATGATTCCGGCGATGGCCATGATGAGAGAATATCCCCCGCAGAGAACAATGACGGCTCATATAGAAGTCCTACCTGAACTGGAGGCCTTCCCCCTACCATCCCTTATCACATCTTCGTTTGTGAGAGACATGACAGAATACAGTCAAATGGCCTGACCTGAGATCTACGTGCTTTACTCTCTCCGGGAACTTTGCCGTCGATATCGCAGACATCGACTATCATCCTAAGCTTCTCTGATTGGCGCCGAATCAACCTTTGCGCCAAATCAATCTTTGCGGCGAATCATCCTTTGCGTCGAGCCGTCCCGCGCCGAATCCTCTTTTCGCGCTGAACGGTCCGGCGCCGATTCGTCAGAAACCGGATCCGACTGTGGAACGAAGATCAGCTCCCATGCCTCTATTTCAATTTCGGAAAATTTCTGATGATGAGGAGCTCTAATCGGGTGGGGAGGCTCAACGGATGGCCCGCGACTGTCAGCAGCACATAATCACGGGAAAGATAGTCGCCTCAAAGAAGAAACTCATCATATACGAGGCGTTCTGTTCATTCCGGAGTCATCTTCTGGCTCGGGCGTCTCCGAAGTGGTCCGCAGGGACGTATGGCGATTTTCGAATTTCCATAGTATACTGCAAACCTTGCGAATAGAAGAAATGTTCTCGAATAGTACCCTTCAAAGGGGGAGGTCAGGGAGGTTCGTAGATCTAATACTAAGATTACGCAGGCCCATCTACGGCTCGAAGTCACTCGAAGGACATCGGGAACCACCACTATAGTTAAATATGAACTCCATGCGAATCGAATCGAATCGAGTTTCCAGGTACATTTCCTGCCGTGACTGGGCATCGCATTATGTTCTGGTTCCCCTAATGGACTTGCCGCCAGGGAAAAGCATGGTTCTCCGTTCAGTCTCATGGGAATCTCGATTAGAAAAGCTCCAACCTGTAGGAGGAAATATCTAGCTGATCGTCCGTACGATCTTTATTCATCTCTGATAATGCGAGTAGGTACTCGAGAGGCTGCTCGACTCCAGTCCGGGTCTCTCACGTCTTCTGCTTGGGTACTTTGGGAGCGGCTCTAAGAAAAGGCATCAAGTCTACGCCGAACAGCAGCTCATAGGTCGCTACTCGCCATTTTCCATCCTTCATCACGAAAGGGTGCAATTCATTTAGGCGCTCGAGCGCCAAGTGAGTGAGTGGTTCGAAGACGAATTTCCTCTCGGACCAAATCTGTACACCGCTGTTAGATAATTTCAGCCCGTTGCTCTCCAAATTATCGACCACATCGTTGATTTGCTGCAGCGAGAGTTCATCAATATCATCTCCCCGTTTAATGATGAAGGACTCGAGCGGTTTAATCAACGCGGCGATTTCCTCTCTGGACATTTTTGAAACTTTTCCGGCGTATCTGGTCAGGTGAACCGTTGGCTTCCCCGGCTCTGTCGTGGGCCCGCTCCCCCGCAAGGCTTGCGGTGACGTCCGACGGAAGAGTTCCGCGTTCAAGTTCCCGGCGAGATTGCAGGCTACAATCAGATATCCGAGAAGTTTCAGAAGCCCCACGCTGTCTGGTCCGCGATCACCGGTTCTCGAGCGCCTTTGAAATAGATCTGACGCACAGAATGCACTCCATGCAATCACTGGGATGGTTAGATCGAGCCCCATTGAATACATTTTGTCGGAATGTCGTTGTCGTGGATCTTTGACTCGGGGAGTGGAAGAACTCTCATATATCTTCTATAAGGGTGGAATGGGAGGCACGAATTCCATGCGAAGAAATCTAGGAAATGAACCTCAATAAAACGAGATAGGGAAAGGGCAATGTCCACTAGTACGGCAGCTCGTGCTACGATGCGAATCGAGCTTTCTCTGAACTCTGGACGGCTGAGAACAATGATGAATGATGACATATCCCGGGAACGTTTAAACATTTTATTGCACAAACATTGCACAAAGTTCATCATTCTTCCACTTCGTATTGTTCCTGTTTAGGGTAGGTATGCTCGACTTACATCATCGTCTCTCTGTCATCTCCCTAAATGTTCGGTTATGACTCCTCTTCTCGAGGAGTTTCGCCGTTCGCTGTCTGAAGACATTGATTCAATCACCACCTTCTTCATCGACCCCATCTCTCCTTTGAAATAAACGCAATCGACCAAACAATCGGCCGATCCGTTCCGGAACGACGTGCCACGTCGGCCTATTAGCTCCCTAAGGGATCGACCAATCGAGAGTCCATCAGTTGAATGAAAATAGGAAGCATTCACGAAATATTCGTCTGTCGCCTCCTCATCATGTCATCATGTGTTCAGGTATTTCGTGTCAGTCTCATCGACCGAAATCATTGATAGGTAAAATATGTGGGTGATGATATCGACGCAAATGAAAGAAGGAAACTCACCACGATCTCTAACAAGGGGAGTGCAGAACATGATCATGGCCGATCGAGCTGAAATTTTGGTCATAGGATCCTCTACCCAAGAGTAGTTCAAAACTAAAATATTAGCTGCGTATGGCCACTTTAAGGCCTCCAAAAAAATCGTCAAAAATGGGACCCTTCAGCATTGAGCCTATGGAAGCTTTAATGAAATTCTCAATGGATATGATAATAATCAACGAAAAACTATTTGACACAGACAGTCACCTTGCAGTGAATACACTTAATGGATGGTAAAGCGTGGCAAACACTGCAGGCCGGGTCGGTGCAGAAGAGCATGTCCGCGAGTTTCGGGAAAGGTATTGACGGCACGTCGAAGCCGCCTTCCCGCCACCCGCAAAGCCACATGCTGCGGAATTCCGAATGTTGGAAATGACTGTATACAAGGAATTGCATTCGTAGAGCATGGTCACGGCTTCAGTTTGTTGATCCTCCTCGACGACATCGGATAGCATCTCTTGAAACTTTGAATCCACCGATGTTAAGCGGAAAATCTTGTCAGCTTCAACTCCTGCGCCTTGTGCAGGGCCCATCTTCGAATGTCGTCATCATGAACGGGAAGCGAATTCGCCCGCGCGAGATCGAAAGTTTCTTTTGTTTATTGGGCAAACTGCTTGAGTTGTTCCCTCCATGTCCCGCACTCGGCGTGATACTCACGGAAGCGACTAATATAGCACGGCTGTTTCACTTTCCTGAACTTCGTCCGTATGGTCTTGAATGTATGAGTTGGATGCTTCTCTGCGTATTCTAGAACGCGGAAAACATACTCGTACGAGCAGAAGTCTCTCTCGTCGCCGAAGTCTTCATACACAGCAACGTAGTCTTCGTCTTGAAATTTTGAATCCTCGATATCGTCGACCTCCTCCGCTCCGATCACATTCGCTTTGTCGTAAGACGGCAGGCTAGCGAAAATTGCGTCAGCGATCTTCGTCTGGATTTGTCGAGCTGACATCCTTTGATTCGTAGGAAGTGTAGGGAAAGAAACAACGAAGTGTCTCAGGGCAACGGCGCGAAAATTCACAAAATCAATGATCTTAATGATCTCTGCTGAAAATTTGAGCGCGATCGGGGTAACCCTTCCACTAGTTTTGAAATCGAACCCTTGACAACACCTGTAACGTAAAATTCTTCCAGATTCCCATAGGCTCAATGCTGAAGGGTCCCATTTTTGACGATTTTTTTGGAGGCCTTAAAGTGGCCATACGCAGCTAATATTTTAGTTTTGAACTACTCTAGGGTAGAGGATCCTATGACCAAAATTTCAGCTCGATCGGCCATGATCACTGTGTGCACTCCCCTTGTAAGTGAGGAAAGAGGAGGCAGAAGAACAACTGGATGATTATCTAGGTGTACACGCGCATGGTCTGCATGTACGCTGTGAGTTGTATTATGGTGTCCATGTGCTTCGCTCCGTGCGTAGAGGGGGCGGAGTAAGGCGAGATTTCGTGTATGGTCGCGTATCCGTATCCCGCTGTGTAACAAGTTCGGCACGTCAGACAGAAACAGATCGAGCCCATTCCAGGCCCAACGTGGGCTTCGGTGACCGAATGCCCGGATGGAGACACGGCGAGTGAAATTCTGACGAGCCAGCGGAACGATCATTCGATGAAACTGAGGGGAAGGTGAAGTGATCCATACATTCCGAATTGATTCCTGAAGTTCGGGATGACATGTCAAACCGATACTGATGCAGCGGAAGGAGCTAATGTCGCAGAAGCTTGAGGATAAGCCCGTGACTACTCGTCCACGAAACCGAAGAAGCTTCGACCTGCGCTCGATATCGCACTCGCACTCCTCTCAAGAGACATGCTCCGACACGATGCTCCCGAAAGTGTCGGTTCATATTGTGTTCTCTCTCCTGAATGAATGCTCCCGGTTGAATCTGACCCCCGACCACTCCTTCTCCGATGCGTATCAAATAATGATTCTTCTCCCTCTAGCGCTCGTTCAGGTCGTATGTACAAATATCGGTCGCGTGAAGGCGGAAGCGGTGCGGTATCGGTAAGCAATGACTTCTTCAGGTCAACACCTCCTGTCCATGACCACCAAGAAAAAGGGAATTTGAGAGCCGGCGCACAGATTGAAGCTTTCTGGCGGGAGAACTGAGAGCTGATCAAATCGGAAGCCACGAAAATACATTCGTTGCGGAGGTGATGTATACGCGATTGACGGAGCAGATCCATCGATACACCCACTAACCCACTCAGATTTGATTCAATCTTCCCGAAAAATCGTCCTCCTTCTTTTCCTTCAGCCCGTTTTATCGGCAAAGCGCGCAGGGAGAACACCACAAAGGGGCGGGTTCCTGCAGCCTCGTCCAGCTCGGAGTTTTGTTAGCGATATCGTACTCCAAAATTTCAAACATTGGAATGAACAACACATGTTTGGTTTGATTTTCAACAAGACATGAATGTCATTTAGCTCACGAGCGGACGAGTGTGGACTACGGCGGACTCTACCCACGGTATTTGGTCAATCGGTCAATCACTCGTGCATGTTTGTCTTCTCAAGCTCACGCAACGTTCTCGTCGTCTATAAGGTAGTCAAGTCTTTCTTCATCCCTCACTGATTCCTCCTGCTTCTCGGATCCATATTTCTCGCCTCACACCGGGACTAACACATTACATATATATACAGCCCATAATGCGGTCTCCATCTGTGTCAATTGATTGATTCTCCGATTATCGAGCTCTCGCAATATAATTTATCGCGTATGCGAAAGGCAACAGCTTCTTTCTACCCCGGCGGTTCAAATCGAATTGGAAGTGGAATCTCGACATACTACCGAGTCGGCGATCATGTAAGAGTGAGCCCGTTTCATTCCGCGAGGAATTCTCCTCCCCTCTCCGGAAAGAACAGCTCTCGAATTTGGGGATAATTTCCTGGCAAGCCCGCGTTCACGCCTCCGGGTTCGCGGGCTCGGTGAAGAGTGGTGGAGCACTGCTTGGTTTTTTGTGACAGACGTTCTTCAATAAATCCACAAAAGTCCAATCATGGAAGGTGAAGGAGAGCAGCACAGTCAGAACACAGACAACCAAACATCGATGACTAATCCGATAAGCCCACTGGATCTCATGAACCCGTCCGGCCGTCTCCGGCTGGCGGATAATCTGAGCCGCCTCCGGCTGAGCACACGAATCTTTCACACGACAGCACAGCAGGCAGATCGAACTCGCTGACCTGGGATTCCCCATCAGTCCAGATAACTATCAGCGTTGATTGACGAGTAGTGGGTGAGTAGATCAATAGATAGATAGGTATATAAAACGTGGGCCTACCTTGGTTCCATCCGCTCATCAGACGTCATCATACATCCTTTCATCAAGCCACCAATCAATCCATCATTCATCGCATCTCGCTCTGGGGGAAGCTTTCCGACGAAAGCCATTCGTCATCCCACATTTGGATCGATGCGACCAGGTGTCCAGCACTACCCACCAGTCATTCGTCTAATCAGCGAATCAATCAATTTACAAGTCGAAGGTCGCATCAAACAACAATCATCATCAACAACTTTGAGACTCCCTGTGCGATAAGATCGCAGCGGAGCTCTGATCAACCGTCAGCACATTTATCAAGGTCGCGATCAATTGAAAATCTTTGACTCCGCCATCATTCAGACTCTCCAACTAATCCATGATCAGCTCTAGCCGCTGGAGAACGATATACTAAGATCGAATAAAGTTCACTGCAATGAATGCAATGGGTTTTCACAAATTGGTTTTTTGTTTATTCTGTTCTCGCGTGTTTGTGTGTCTTCTCCAAGGTTATCCTGTCTCTTCGAGTGTAGTAATGTAGCTCTGTGTGGCTTCATGTTCTCCCAAACCAGACCGGCTCCGAATCGGATCCATGGATTAATGCTGCGCAACGCTCAGCAACACATTCACTTGGGTGAAGCTAAGTATTCATATCGAAGTACAAAGATGCTTCGGTAAGTAACCAACGGTAATAATGGGTGTGGTTCTTTTCTCCGACTTTGTCCAGCTTCCACCGATGAATGCTGTCGAGAGAAGGAAGAGGAGAAGAAGGAGAGCTCTATCGACCTCCCGATGAGGCACGCGCGAATAAGATGGAGAAGTATATCCGATAATCAAACCACAGACAGGGGGAAAATGAAGTTCTCCACCTTTATAAAAGTTTCCAAGAGGGTCCAGGTGGAGGAGGGAGGAAAAGGGTGAGCGGCGGGTGGATCGAGGCAGGGAGAGATTTCAAATAATCATAATCTCTACAACGATTGCACTACTAGCGCTTAGTGAGGTAAATGAAACACGTTCACTCCACTTCTGGTCTCAAGTTCTTTGTTGTTTCTTTGTCAATAGAATTGTGTATTCATCCATATGATAGATTCGTCAATCTAAATTAATTTACTTTGTTGCATAATAGTTTCATGTTGTTGGTATCCTCTTCGGGTTGCTGCCGCCGCAGATTTTGCTCAGCCAAGCTAGACTAGTAGTCATTCAGTTTCATTTTGGGTTGAAGAGCAAAGAGGGTCCCAGAAGGAGCCACTCGCTTCATGTGGCGCTCAACTCCCGATCGACTCGTCGGTCATTGCTCTCAGAGAGTTCTTCGCTGGTCGATCTCGGGTCGTTCCTTCGCCTCGATTCGACTTCCGATAATAACAACTACGAGCTAGTTATTCTCATATTATCCGGATTCCATCCAGTATAGTCTGACATGCTCTGCCGGATCGTGGATTTGTGTTTGAATGCTTCCGTGAAATGTATCATATGTGTTTGCGTCGATGGCTCACCGATGTTTTTGATTGAGAATAAACGTTTATATATATATGTACCATTCAAAAATTCTTGTGTGTCCATCCACTTCAAAGTTCGCTTGTGCGTGTACTTTGAAGTTCGTCTGTTTGCGCTCTTCTCAGTATTCAATTGTCGCTGTAAGTCTATCATTCATCAGCTCATCCCGTCTGCCGATAGCAGCCGGAATTGTCTGTTTCATCTGTTGAATTCTCTTGTTTTGTTCCGCTCAGTCTGATGTATGTCGCTTGTGTTGGTTCCGTTGTTTGACATTTGTTGACTCTCTGGCCTATGCCCATATAATATATTAATATTCGGTAACTTAGCGGTTCGGGACTTCTGGCCGCAAGGAATATTCTCCATCTAGTCTTCGGTACTTGTTCAACTCTTCCTTACTTCATTGCTTTTCCTCTCGCTCTCTTTCTCTCTCTTTCTTTCTCTCTCTCTCTCAATTGAACAGGTCGCCGCAAGTGACGTGCTCGACAACTGGCTGGCGTGCCTGTCCTTTTGCCAGCATACACGCAACAATTTCTGTAGTATTTGATGTAGACTGTATTTTGTGTCCAAATTCCCAACTGCATGCGCTGACCGGCGCTAAGGGGACAGCGTTCGTGGGCGCTGATGCCGCCGACCGACGCTGCTACAATGGCGGGTGGCGACAGGTTCTTATTGTAGAACGTGATCGATCCATCGATCAACCGATTGATTTACCATAGATTCAGGAATGCCTCTAGACGGAATCATTCCAAACAGAACTGTGTTTGACTAAGTGACTCGGCGGGGAGTTGCACGTTCGTTGAAATTGTTGATGGTTTGTCTGGTGTACCACTCTCCCGACTCCTCGTTATTGACTAGAATGACATTCACATCATTCTAAGAAATAAACATTTCCGATGCGCTCGCAGTTGGGAAGCAAGAGTTCTAAACAATTCGTGCACGCAGACGCTCATCCGCAGCCGGAGAAAGAAGAACAAATATCCTTCCGTCGCGATGATCTTCCTCTTCTTCGCTCCGCTTTGATTCTAAGGAGGCACAAGGATTTTTTGCTTGCTTCGAGTGGCTCTCGGAAGCGGAACGTGCACGATCCATTATCGTTATCATCATTTCACTCTCATCGCTAACATCTTCATCATCGTCTCCAGGATCTATCATCATAAGGTTATCAACAACGACGAGGTCACATCTCTCCGCACGTCCTGTGTCGGACGAGTCAAAGGTAAGACCTCGGTCAGTTGGGGTAAGCATTACCGCCACCCGAAATCAACCAAGTCATATTCTCTTCGTTTCCAGCGAGCTGGGGCGATCGGCGTCGATTCTGGCAGTGCGCTACGTCCTCGTATTTCCCTCGATGACGGGAAACGACTACCGCGGATGGTTGTCTTCTTTCGCTCGCTCACTCGCTAGCGTTTGTCTATATTATTCCCCTGTTTAGAAATCGGCGAACTCCTTGGCACATTTCTCCGTTGAGGAGATTCTAAGCGGTTCCTCTTCGTATTCGTCGAAGTTTGAGGTGTCTCCCGGCCCGGAGTTGCGGGGCAGGAAAGGTGCTTCAATCTGGAATACGCAATCGCAATTTTAGTACGCAGCGAGGTTTGAAGTCTTGTGATTGGGGACAGCTGGCGATTATACGGCGATTATTATCGAATATGCTGCTCGGAATGATTCCTAAAAGTCTCGGGTGAACCAAGATGACCATTGGGATCCTATAGCAAGGAGTATTCAAGCGGACCCAAGGCGAGGGAACCCCCGTGTTTTCAATCGCCATCCTCCTAATATCTCCCTCAGTGTATCACTGGAGACGAGCATGCTCAAAATAACTGTCATGCGAGTGACGGAATCACCGCTACAATCGATGACACAGACATATATGTGACACATAGGAAGGACAGGACACAAGGCGAAGGACTCGACGACGACAACGACGACCACGACACAAATCGGCTTTGCGTCTATTTCTATATCGGAGGGAGATCATGCCTTGCGTGCGATTGCGACTTTCATTCTGGAAGAACGAACGCCTCGACCGTCAAGAACCAGAAGCAGTGTGCCGTCGGAGGCGACGATGCGACAACCAACCTATTCTATGTCGGTGAACACTGGGGAAGAAACTCTCCTCCTTAAAAATCCTTGAACTCATCGCCGTGCAAGCAATGTTCGGCGATCTCGAATATTTGTTCATTCTCCTCAAAATTTTCGAAGTACTTCGTGTCACCTTCGGACGTCAGTTTCGGTCGAATGAACGGTTTTTCCTGAATAGTCGCTTGATTTAAATCACGTGCATAATCAGGCCTCGACAACAGTATCTAACATGAGGACCAGTTATTCGGGATCCCTCACCGCTTCAATACCTAGAGTCCTAGAGTCTAGAGCTTGGAAGCTGAGACATTGGTACATGATTATTCAGGCCAAGCCATAGATACAGCTGGATGGTTGGGTTCCGGAACTCGAGCTGTCCCCATCCAGACATCGAATAGATCGGCGGTGATCAATTAGTGATGCCTTCACTTCCAAGCTCTACTTTTGAGGCACATCTGCTATTCAGAAACATACGACACGCAGTCTACGGTTGAAGATCGACCGACTAGGTTATGAGATCATGCAAATTAGATCTGTACTTTGAATGTTTCTCCAGGCGGTGACTACACTCAGACAACGGAAGACCGAGCCGAAACTCCACAGAATTCCTTGAATCTCGAGAGACAAAACTCAAAATTGATTCAAGAGCGAAACACGAGAATGAATGAATAGATCGATTGATGAGTTCGAGTCGACGGGACGCGAAGTATCTGATCGAAGTCCATACCTCTTTCCGGTAGATAGAAATCCAATCGGTCTGCGCGAACCAGCGGTGGTTCTTGATGTCGTTCACACCGTTCTTGAGGTTGCCGTATCTCTTGGTGAGATCGACTTGAAGTAGGTTCTTCAAAAGATCTTTCAGGTCAGACGTGAAATGTGACGGGAACCTCACCTAAAAAATCGGAAGGTTAATTGTGATGGTTCGGGGTTGAGAATCAGCAATCTCCTATCCTAAAGAGGCCCCACAGGTCTTCGGCCGCGGACCGGAGGAAAAAGTTGAGGTTTACCTTCCCAGATACGATTTTCTCGTAGATTTGAATCGGCTGATCAGCAAAGAACGGTGGATAACCGGCGGCCATCTCATAAACGAGAACTCCGAGGGCCCACCAGTCGACAGCCTTATTGTAGCCTTTCGACAAAATGATTTCAGGAGCGAGGTATTCGGGAGTGCCGCAGAGCGTCCAGGTGCGCCCCTTGACACGTTTGGCAAAACCGAAATCAGTTACCTGGTGAGGGTTGAACCGTCCACGTTATAGTTCAATCGATATCGAATGGTCGCACGAGTTGGGTTCATTGATTCGAGGTCAGGGTGCGACAATCTTGCCCACAGCTTTCGTATATATTACGCGGTTAGCGACCGCGCTCAAGGTCAATCATTTCGAGTCGCGAATTACCTTGATGTAGCCTTGATGGTCGATCAGCAGGTTCTCCGGCTTCAAGTCTCGATAGATAAGGTCGAGCGAATGCAGGTACTGGAAGGCCAGCACGATTTGCGCGGCATAGAAACGCGCATGGGGTTCGCTGGAATTCACAAAATGTCGCGACGTTAGCCGGCAACGCATTATCACGGAAATGCCGTGGGATTTTCTCGACCGTTTCGGGATAAGAAGAATAAATATCGTTGTGAAAACACAGGAACAGGTGAATCGGTGCGTTTTAGGCGATGGTGCCCCCCTTTCTCATCGACGACTGCTCCTCGAGACGGGTTTTCCTCGTGAAGATCTATGATATGAACCAGCACTACGACGTACGACTCATGAACCTCTCGTGTGCGAGTAGGACGATACATCTGTGCGGAGCCGAGGGAGAGCATCTCGTTTCCGATGTCGATTTTGCCATTCGATCATGGGTGATGATTCTCTGGGATCGTCGACGCTGCTGTCGCTCGCACTTGACCAGGGAATTCCCGAGAGGAGACGATCGATTCAAGGAACAACTCAGACGAGAAAGACTTGTGGACGAATGGCAAGTGACCGACAAGAATTGAACGAGCATTCGTGAGCTAAGCCGTAGGGCCAGGCAGGCACAGACAGGCCATCCTTACCTAAATCGGCCCACCCTTCGTAGATGGGAGAACATTTCTCCACCCATCACATACTCTAACACCATGTAAACGTTCGAATTGTCCTGAAAACCGGGGGTCACCAGAAAAAACCTCCAGTTAGTAAAAAGGTGTTCGACTAAAACTCACCTGAACTTGCCCACTTTCCGTAGGTGCGTGAACATTTCACCGCCCTGGACGTACTCTAGTACCATGTACAGATTCGAGTTGTCCTAAAATACAACAACATAGTGGTGCGTTTGATTAGGTGCATTTCAACGATTTCGTAGCAGCATGGAGATACCGAGCATCGAAATCGAGGGGCGGGGCATCCCGAAACGATCATACGGGGGCGAACGCACAAAGGGTGCTCGACACCTTCAACAGCGCCTAATCGCTCGGCTCCCAGAATGTCCGCGGCAGAATGCGGATGTAAAAAAGACGAAAGAACTCATTATTCCGAAGGGGCAATCTATCGAGAAGAGAGGAGCATCGGTGCTATCAAGACCTCAAATCTGAACTCCATGTATGCTATTTAAGTGCGACGGTGCTGGACATGAATAGAGGAGCCGGACCGAGAGCGTAAAACGAAGTCTGAGGATTTACTCAGTCAGTCCGTCAGTCAGTCACGAAAACCCCCAGGTAAGCCTCATTAGTTCGATATTAGTTCGATTTGGATGATCCAATTCCAGAGGCGACTCAGGGAGGATCCAACAGGAATCTCGGAGGACTGTTCTGTGTCTATCTTCAGGAAAATTTGTGGCTCGACGGAAAAGAGGATGAGAGCTCCCGGCTCTTAGGTTACCTTGAAATGATAAGCTAGCCTGACGAGGAACGGGAAATCCACGGCTTGAAGGATTTTCTTCTCGTTCAGAGTGTGCTCAACCTGTTTTAGCTTGATAACCTGGAGAAACGGATGGTTTACTTAGCGGAGGATAATTAGGAGAGGGGAACTCTACAGCGGATAGCAGTTATGGCGAGACCGGATAGGAGCGGTAAGCTGTCGACGGAGCGATAGCGGCTATCGCACAGAAAAGGGTGGTGGAGCTTACCTTCTGTTTGTCTAAAATTTTCATAGCGAAGTAGTCTCCTGCGCTCTTGTGCTTTACCAGCATCACTCGGCCAAACGATCCCGTGCCGAGAGTTTTGATTCGGTCGAAATCTTCGAGAACTGCGGTGTTCTGTTGAGGAAAGTGTTTATCTTTAAAATCGATCCGTGAGATTAAAATCTTCCGGGAAATTGCTGTGATCGAATCAAAATAATGATCGACACAACGCGGACGCTGGACGAACGAGATTCCCCAGACAGACTTCAGGTCGAAACAAGAGCCCGAAAATGAGGATCCGAATTAAAGCTTACCGAACTCGGATTCGTCCATTTCTGTTCGAACTGTCGCTTTGCTTCTTCAAGAAAGCGTTCAACTGCAAACGAAGCCTTATTAGTTCGAGAACCGATTCTCGGAGTTTTCCGCTCCCTCCCCTTGCGGCCCCGACCATAACCAATGCCACAAGCGATGCGGACTCGGACTTCAAACAGAATTGACTCCATTTACAGAGAGAGATGTGAAAAACAAAAAGACGGACGACGACGCACTGGAAGCGCGGGGTGAAGGTAGCAGCAACGCCTCTAAAGGCAGCGATGAGTTCTCCGCTAATGATCGTGATTGAAGGAATTCAAACGTGGAACTAGGTACTCGAATGATGAGTTCCGGATGAGGACCGGTTGACGTTGGAATTGCGACTCGATTCATAGAAACGTCACCGACACAGGCGGTGACAAGAACTTCGGAGACCCTCGCCTGGTGTTCGAGTTTGAAATCCGCTTCCTGCCCCATTAGACGATCTCTACGCACGTTCCCGCTCGGTGTTAGATTTGCTTCTACCATGTTATTAGAATTAGAATTAATAATAATTCAAAATCCGTTAATCGTATCCACTACCGAAGCTGCGGTAGCACGCTCCCTGACCACCGACGTCGTCTGACTATGTAGATACGAATTAGTAGCGGCTCCGGTGAGCCGAGTTGAGCATGAGGCCGATTCGTCGAAGTTCCGGAAGGATATCACAACGGCTGGATTGAAGTCTACGATTCAACAAATGAGCGGCGGTGGAAAATAGCGGCAATAATAGCAGTGACAGCAGCAATGGCAGCGGTGGCTATAGCGGCGATACATCGCCATGAAAGCAATTCCTGACACCGTCTTACCGAGACGACCTTGACGACGGCGGCGGCGGCAGCAGCGACAGTTAGGGCAGAGTGGTCGCTCGCTCGCTCGCTCGAGCTGTCGTTCGGTCTGAGTCTTTAGTCAGTCAAACATAGAAACAAGTTGGGTCCGCTCATTCGTTGCAAGTATCTCATGCTGCATAGTATGTACGCGCAGAGCACGCAGGGAAGAGAGGCTGGGGTGGACAGACAGACGGGCCGGCCGGCCGGTCGGTCGGCGGGTCAATTACGCCAGAGCGCGGCTTCTTCGCAGTCGTAATTGTTGCGAACAACGTCAACAACGGCGAAGACGCCATGTTCGGTAAAGAAATGACCTCAGTCGGTGATTCGTTTTGCCAGTGTAAAAACTCTCAGACCAGAACACCGCCGCGGTGCTTGCAACGGAGACAGATAAACGCGCTCGCTCGCTCACTCGCCCGTTTGCTGGAAGCTCGCCTATGAAGGCAGCTATTGCCGACGACCTGAATAAAAATACAACCGGAGGAAGCTGTTCACGATTCTTTCTGAGAGGTGCAACTCCTAGAGGCGAGCCACTGGCCGACGGGGCCGTCGTTTCCGAACGAGCGAACGACCGAGCAACCGACCGACCGTCAGCGCGACCGTCACCACCAACAACTCGGCGCGCAGAGACATCATTTAGGATGAGAAACAACGTGTTCGAATGAGACCGGTTGCTCATAATCGTTTTGAAGGTGTGCAACGAAAATGGCTCGACGTGGTCCTCAGAACATCACCCGAACCAACGAGCGACCGCGCGCCCTCTTCATTGCTTCGTTGCATTGCTCGTCCGTCCGTTCGTTCGCTCATCCGATCCTTCGTCGCTTGGCAGATTTTCTCATATCAACCCATAAACTGGGCCCAGCGTAACTAAGAAGGCACCCGACGTCGATCGAGAAAGCGACAACAAGCATGAGCTGCTCGGCTCGCCCGTCTATTGAGGCGTAGGAGCGTCTTATACCGTTTGAGTACTGCCTGACGCGATGGACCGACGGACGACCGTCCGTCCGTCAGTCAGTCGGTCGTTGAGCGAACGTATGACTAAACGCGGTTCTGACAGCTTGCCAGAGGGATTGCTCGAGAGAGCCAGCCAGCCAGCGAGTGACTGACTGACTGACTGACTGACGGTCCGTCCGTTTGTTTATCGGACCGACTCGCTGACTCTATGAATGGGTCGTAGAAATTTATGGCTGTCTAGGAACAATCACAGATAAGGCGACGCCGACGGAAAATAGCGTCGTGAGCTACCTCTTCAGGCTAAGAGATTTTCGAAAGGAGCCATGTCGCGCTTGCATAGCTGAATGCGAGGCTCTTCGCTCGTTCGCTACTTGCAAGCGCCAGTCAGTCTGTCAGTCTGTCAGTCGGCTATACGACCGACCGACGGAAGTCGGCGTTGGCTACGACTGATGATAATGTATTCGCGTGCAGGTTCGGTTGTGTGCCCCGATGGCTGCCGCCTTCAGTTACCAGGCAACCAACCAACCGTCCACTTCAGCGATCGGACCGCTTGGCTGCTTGGCAGCGAGCTATTGGGTTCTACAATAAGTGAGCACGAGAGTCTCACCTAGAGACGTTTAGCTCGATCCAGGCGAGAGCTCGCTAAACAGCTTAAGGTCGGAAAGTGAAAATTGACAGCGCTTCTGAATGAGATCATATGACCGGAAGAATGTATCGACAACAACAATCAACTCCTCAGCGGAGTATGAAGCCCCTCCACTAGGAGGAGGAGTTTGTGCGAACGCTCGCTGACGATTTCGAGATCCTATGAGTCAATCCGAACAGGCAACGAAAGAGCAGTCGGACAGACATACGAGAATCGCAGTAGAAGGAAGTTCTCGCGCAACAATACGCCTCGGTCAGCTGGACCAACATTCGAGAGAAGGACGGACGGCTGACGTTAGAACGGCGCTCGCCAGTCGCTCGCTCCATAGCTCGAACAACGACTCTATTTCAAGCACAATTCCTCTGACAGTAGAGTTGTATCCTAAGGTCGTCGGTATAGGCGCTGGCTCTGTAGTTTCCGCCAGTCGATCTTCGTGGTAGCGGCTATAGGAGCGCGAATAGCCGTCCGAGAGATTGACTGACTGGCTGACTAGCTAACACTTGGGAGCACAGCTCTTCCACCGCAGAGCTGCGCTCGGATCTGCTTCCTGAGCGTGAAGCAGTGGAGCGTTTCCGATTTCTCGGTGCTCGATATTCGAGAGTTTTCCTTTTAATACATCGGGAGTAACGGAGGTCGATGCCAGAGAGAGTTGGTGTGGGGGCGACCCAAGACAATCTCCAGGAGGAACATTGTCCCTCTCGACCTCATCCTGAACGGGTACGAAACGGAGCGCGCATTCTTGATATTCGCTCGACATTTTCTCGACGCAACGTCCCCCATATTTGGCCATTCTGCCACCCGACAGTCCCTGGAATCGGGATATCCCCGGACAGTTGATTCATTCCAAATAGACACTTCGGAATCAAGGGCGGTCGACGATGGGGAATTATTGCCCAATCGTAATCCTGTTTATTCGACCGAATTCTTCTGATCGTTTGCGCACTCTCACTGAATTCCTTTCTCCGAAAAACTCCAGAGACGTCCCCTCGGACAGTCACCGCGGATAAGACCGAGTCCTGGTCATGATCCCTTAATTCGGAGGGAGTTTCATTCCGGAGAGAGTCACTGAAACTTTTCCCGAAAAGAGAGCATCGTATCAATGACGGCGCATGACGGATCACACGTTCCCACGCTAGGTTTCAAAGGGTGCTTGCTGCTGATCAGTTTGTTAGTAAGACTAACATTCACGGAAACGTTATACGGCCGCAAGGCAGAATTTACCTGGGTCGAGTTGGCCCCCGCTGAGGCTCAACCTGGACACCCCATAATCTTCGGGACCTGGAAAATCAGCTTTCGTTTTTGAATCGTACTTGGTGGTGGGTCATTCGCAAATTTCAGTCAGCAGCATCAATCCATCACGACCATCATCATAAACCGAAGATTAATCCGAAGAAATTCGTCGCTGTGACTAAGGCACGAATCGTAGGTATTAGCATCAAAATTCCGAAGTCGAGGTAGTGTATATCGTCGCACGTCTACAGCTCGATGGCTACGAGTCGGGCCAGTGTTAGGACACGTTGCGATTCTTCGAACGAACGCCGAATAATTCGACATCCCTTGCGACATTCGAGGCGAATCGGGTTCCGCGCTGAATGAAGGTGCTTGACTCACTCAGTCAGTCAGTCTGATGCTGCTGGTGCCGGGACAAGGTCGGTGTGGATTTCCTATCCGCACCGATCACGGTGGGCGACATGATCTCAGAATGGAGCACACGTCTGACTGTTATATCATCCACCAGCCAAGCGTATGCAGAACCATTATTCCCGTCCGACCGAAGCTATGAGTATCTGATAGTCTTCGTGGGATAGCCATAATTTCGGGATCAGCAACAGGGTTAAGAGAACAAGAGTCCAGTGCACGGGGTCAGAATCCGATCTTCTGATCTATACCCTGCGTCAGTCACGGCACTCCTGATAGACGCAGACGGATTTTTGGGGCTCATCGGGAAGGCGGGCTGTTCTCCGGAGAAGTTGCGCTTCCCACCTACTCGAAATTCCGGCAAGGATATCGAGTTAGCGGATCCACTCACACCGCTGCGAGTGCTCCAAGATCACAGATCTTTGGGTGGATAGAGCCTCGGAATATTTCCTCGGTGATTCATATGGGCTTCTCAGCTAGAGGGTTATCCTGCGCATGAGAAGGGATTAGTCACCACGGGACTAAGGATACCATCCAAAATCGGAAATATCAGCCGCGAGGTTCCGCGAATTCCCAAGGTCAAGTTGAGGGCTGGACTCGAGTCCATATTCCTACAAACCGTCCTCTACAGTATTTTGACCCGTTCGTTCGCTTCCTTCGAGTTGTTCGGCGAGGCGCTTGCGCTTGACGAGGCGATGTCGCCGATGCTGAGGGAAACGGAGTGGCCGACCGGGCGGCCGAATGACTGACTGAGTGAGTGAGTGACTGACCGTCTAACTGTCTAGCCGGGAGGTAGTAAGACGCCAGCGAGCGAGCAAGCAAGCAAGAGAAGACAGCGGCTTCGAGAACGCTGCTCTTGGACATCGTTGCTCTCGTCGTTTTCGCTCAAGTTCTAAATATAGATGCAACAACTGAACAAGAACGCCTGTCGCGCCCGGGTACACGTCTGTTCCTACTCATGGACACGTTCGGATCGGATCTGTCCATCCAATGATTCGATCTCTGATCTCTTTCGAGATCAGAGCTATCAGAGCGTCCTGGGTTGTTCTACGTCAAGTGTTCGCTGCTCTCGATCATTCGCCACCGCGTCTTTCCACAGCAAGACGGTGGCAGGGAAGAACTCCTCCGACTGAACCGGTCCTCGAAGGCGAGGAGCCGTTCCGGGATTCGATCGCCGATCGGCACCGAGTCGAGCTCGTTCGAAATTTTTCTCCGACATTGCCCATCCTTGGATATGAGATGCTTCGCGTGGCGTCAGTGGGCCGACGCGTCTCGCGAGGTAAACAGAACGCGCTGACGTCGCTGCCGAGTGCCATCACGGTATCGACCACAAGACTGGCGGCGGCTGCAGCAGCTCTTCTGCTCTTAATCGCAACGCAACAATCAGATCTAATGACTGTCAGCTGGAGGGGAATACGAGCCGGCTGACTGAGCTGCTGGATGGTGCTTCGCTAAATTTAGAAGCGTCTACGTATATATAGATCATCATACTAGCAGCAAACTAGCAGTGAATGTGAGCGAGCACGCCTGCTCGCTTGCTGTCCCGATCGTCGTGCCTACTCGTATACGAACGTACTATCGGTCCGGAGCCACAGGCGTCGCACGCTCGAACGAGCGGACCCGTACGAACATGCATTCGCTTTAGAAGTTTGACATCGTTAGCTCTGTTAGATCAAGCGAACATTGAATAGAAATAGCGACAACGCGTACACAAGAGCGTCGGCCGGGACCGTAACGCGCACAGCTCAAGCGTAAATGGTTATTCGCCAAGCGACTCTCAATGGGAGACAGATAGTGAAATTCGAGAGGGAAGGAGGAAGGAAACGAAAGATGGAGATTTTCATCGGAATCCGCCGCACGATCGATTCCAATACTGCGATTTATGCCGAGAATCGGTTATCGGTCCCGGACATCGACCTCAGACGATGATGCTCAGGAGCCGTAACGTCATTCTGGGGAATCGGGTAGTCGCATATGGAGCGAAGACCCTGAGGTTCACGCGCGAGTGAAGCTCGCTGCGGAGTTTTTTTCCCGGGAGAAAATCAGAAACGAACGTCACTGGAACTCGTGACCAATCCGCGAATGATCTCCACTCCTAGATAAGTTTCTGGACTCGGAATAAATCGGGAGAGTGTAAGCGGATATCAACGAGGGAACGGTCATTCGGCGATGGAGATTCGATTTGGGGAACGTGTACGGACGAATTTCTGGAATGATTCTATCGGCTTGAGTCCTGAGTGGGGGCTCTGTCGTGGCGAGGGATTCCGAGAGGGAGATGCCAGAGAGTGGCTCAGGGAGGGAAGAATATAGGGTCTGGAAAGATGAGGAATGAACATGAGGAAGAGAGGCAGAAGGAGACAAAAAGCGGAATAAGAGGAAGTAAACGGAATATACTGTCAGGTAAAGCATCGAGTCGGCAGCTTGATGATACCGCTCCGGAGGTATTCGGATGGCAAGACTGAAGTTATCATGAGCAGCATTGACAATATCAGCAACACAGGCACGAGATAATGTATGAGTAGCTTGACCATAGCGCTCGCTGTTTCCTCCAAATCCCAGAAGCTCATTATTTTTGGTAATCTTTTTTTGGCGTTCTCTTTCTTCTCCCCATCTCTCTCCGCGTCTGAGCTCTGAATGCATTCTTCTCTTCATAAGCTCCGGCGATCCATATCGGAGTAGCACTCTTCGAATCTCGTCGAAATCCCGAGGCTTCGCTCTGCGGCCAGAGAGATAGATCTCCATGGATTCCCCCTCGGGGAGGTTTTTCGCCGCGGCTCAGGAATACGAGTCGGCAGAAGAGACGATGGGGGAGAGTTCCAGAGCGCAAATTGCCAGAGCAGTACCTGTGAGGGCGCTACTTGAAGACGTCTGCCTGGTCAGCTTCGTTTTGTCGCCTAGAATGAGTCAAGTTGTTTTCGATCGAGTTGTCACAATGGAACTTGGAGATCCCTCGTCCCTCAGTGAATTCTCATTCTAAGTAGGAATATCTCTTCCTGGGCCGTACTTTCAGTATACTTCGTTTCACACAGATTTATTCGACGGGAACTGACTTTCTCGTCGAACACTTTCGGCGCTCGAAGACACACAGACACTTTCACATATCAACACGCGGACGCTCACAGCTACCTATCTGTTCGTACGCGGCTGGTTTTACGATGACCAGCGGAGCACAGGACTAGAGAAAATTTCCCCAGAGATACCAATCCGAGATCGAATCCTATCCCGATTTCGAACGCTCCATCCTTATCTCGGAATGAAGCTTGCGGGCACATTCCAAGGCAGGAGACACTATTCCCCTCGATATCTTTCTCTTGTTTACTAACAAACTGCACGGATGAACGAGATGATTTCATGTAGATCGCGGACCACCAGAGAAGGAATTCATTCCAGGAGGGACATGAGTCTCAGAAATTTACGGGAGTCAAGCTTATCCCGAGTCCTCTTTTTTTCTTGTCTCGATTTTTCCCCTCGGGAAAATCGGAAGCTGCCTGCCGTTCATTCATCCTTCACGGGTCGCGACCGCATCTCTGCGCGTCGGCTCGAAGCTCACGGAAGGCTCTCTTTCCGATCCGATATATTCTAGATTCAAGGTGAGCTGTTGCTCTTCAAATGAGGAGTGTTTTTCTCTATGAAACGGAAACCTAACATAAACGACCCTTCAGAGACCGATGCTTAATTTGGCACACGCGGCCCTCTCCACCTTAGATGTCTGAAGCAGCAGGACTAGGATACTAGTAGCATACACACGCGGAGGAAACACCGACGAAGTATTCTGAATGCATCTGAACCATGAAATTCCATCACTGGTGTCGACTTCGGCAAAAAAATCAGCCGGTCGATGGATCGATGAGATGACCGGTGTTGGCTGATATGTTCATGCTCGGATTTAGGAATCGATTTACGGATTGATCCTCCCTCGGGATGAATGATGGATTTGTGGATTCCCGAGATAGACACGTACCGTTTTCCGCGGGATCGCCCTTCTTGGTCGCTGCCGCGTTTCCCATGTTTGCTAGGGTGGCAACGGCGACTGTAGTTCACGAGGTAGGAAGAGAAAAACACACGCGCGCGCGCCTTCACACTGTAAGCCGACCGAGGCACACGCAATAACACGCACAGGTTTCGACTGGTCGTTGTTGTTGTTGTAATTGTTGTCGCCGTCGTTTTTGTTGCTAATCTCGCTGTTCCGACGCTTCTTGCAGCGGAGAGTGACTGCGCCGTTTAGCTCTCGACGGTTTCCTTGGCGCAATCGTCGGTGAATTCCAACTCGGACGCCACTTCTAAATCTTCTCCGAAATCGACCGAATTTTCATCAGGTCGGAAAACATTCGCACTCAACGGAGGAACGAACGAGAGAACGAGTAGACGAGCACTTTCTTAATTCGGTGACAGTATTCCTCGTTATCGGCCGCGCTCCGGCTGTCTTGGAAAGGAGCAGCGACTGGCTCTCAGCGAGTAGAATACGACTGGATGAGCCGACGAACAAAGGATGGATGATTGGATGGATGGATGGATTGATAGATAGGAAATAGATATCCGAGCTATAATCCTGGTTTATCTTGATCCAGAGAGGACGGTCGATGGACACGCGGATCGCGGCAGCGGCGGCGACGACGACGACGGCTGTAGCTGCTGCTTCCACTGCACAGGCGACAACGATGTAAAACAGCTTTGGCCGAGGAGCAACCACCACCGCCAAACACTAGAGAGCACTTTCAGCGAACTCACAGACTGACGACTGACTGAGTAGGTTACTGACCGACAGACCGAGCAAACGAACGGACGGTCGATCGAACGAACGAACGAAACAGCCAACTGACCGAATGACTGACTGACCGGCCGACCGACCGATTGACGACGGACTGACTGTCTGTCCGTCGGACTCGTCGATGATATCACGGATAACTGGCGGAGTGCAGGTGTTCGAACGATGATTCTTGCTTCCACTGAGGTCGACGAGGAGTTAGCAGCGATATCAGCGCGGCCGACCTCCAAAATAGATACAGCCCGATACACCGACCGAGCGCACAGACGAACGAGCGACCGACCGACCGACAGGATGTAAATCAATCCTGCCTGTCCCGTCTTCCCTCGCTCACTGACTTTCCTGTTGTCCTGTAAGACCAACTGACGGTCTGACTGACTGACTGACTGGCTGCCTGCCCAGGTGGCTGGCTTGTTGCCTGCTTTCCCTGCCGATCTCTCGGTCAATAGGTTCTGGCGCCGGCGGCGGAACCACCACCCGAGTCAGTTGTCGTTGTTGTTGTGGTGTTGTCGTCTCTGATGGTCAGTGCTGCGGCTGCCTGACTGCGTGCCTCCTGCTGCTGCTGCTGCTGCCGTTTCTTCTTGTTGATGATGCTGCTGCTGCTGCCGCAGTGTAGTAGGTATAACAAACTCCACCACCACCACCACACTCGCTGCTGCTGCTCGTCGTTCGTTCACTGCTGATCGTTCTCGCTGATGCTATACCACCAACACCACACACCAACAAGCAGGCAACCGTCGACGACGGCGACGACGACACACCGACCGACGACGACGACGACGCACGGACGGACCGACCGACCAACCAACTAGGCAGTCTCACTCAACCGACCAACCAACGACGAAACGAACCAACCAACTACCACCACACAGCAGAGCCAAGTCAAGAGATTAGTGCGCCCAGTTTAGCCTGGACGACGCCTTAAACGCAGTCGGAAAACGTCGACGCGATCATCACGTTCGACAGGCTCAGCGGAACGATGCCTTTCAGATGGTTCGCGCACCCCCAGCTGGAGAGTCGCGCCAGAGCAGCGCTGTCGAACACCCCTGATAGGATCTAGATCGCTACCCGCCTAACACGGACAAACATGGCGGCTGTGATGCGGTTGGTATGGCCGCTGCCGCCGCCGCTGCTCTCTTGCCTGCTGCTGCTGCCACAGCCGCTGCCTCTGCTACCAACACCGCCACCGCTCACTGCTGCTGCTACCACCACCACCGCCGCTGCCTCCACAGCCGCCGCCGCGACGGCCGCCGCCATCATCGACGACAGACAGCCATCCAGCAGCAGCAAGTACTTTGCTCGGTAGACATCAGCGGGCAGACGGGCCCTCCGACTGGCAGCGGGAAGGCTTCGAGCCGCTGACGCAGAAGGAGAATCTAAAGGCTACTTTACCGATGGATGCATCCTCCGCAAAATACACTTGCGCCGTAGCTCTCGCGAAAGGCTGAGAAATTCCTTTCCCGCCCCCCGGTATTCCTCACCCTACACTCGGCCGTGTCCGGGTCTCGTCATCGGTATCGATGAATTGGATTAACGCGCGCCGGCTGCTGCTTCTCCGGCTGCTGAATAATTTCTTCCGGAGGAGAGAGATCGTTCTCTATTCATATCGAGAACATGAGACATCATTTTCGGGGATCGGAGAGCATGGAGGTTTCATTATTGAGCGGAGGAATCGATTTCCGTGTTCGAATTTATCTGAGCGCGGGCATCTACCTTAAAATGATCGATCGTTTCCCAAAAAGTCCCATGGGGCTTGGGATCCCTCGTTTAGACGAATTGTCACTGTTTCTGCGATTCCTCCGAGCGAGACCGTCTCCGGAGCCCCGCAGGAAAAAAAGTAAAGCGAAAGTGCGGTTCAGGGATACCACCAGAATCCGCCCGATGACTTCTAGAAGAATTCGCAGTCAGGGTCATCCGTGGCTCGGATGGGCTACCGAAGGGGACAAGTACTTCGTTCCTAGGGAAAATTATCTCGGTGAAGCGAGAACCGTCCATTGGAGAAGTCTCTTCCTTCTACGCTCGACGTCTATATCTGTCCAGGCCCCTCGAATTCTCCGAAGGCCACCCGTGCCGCACACTCCGTACCTTCCCCGAAACCTGTCCTCAGAGGATTCCGAGACAACATGCGTGGAGGTCACGTTATCATAAGAAATGTGCGATACTCCGGACAAATAGCATGCTTCGGAACGAGAGTCCCGTTGTCTCGGATGCAGCTGCTGTTTATGTCCGGTACGGGTACGTAAGGGAGCGGTGAACACTCGCAGGAAGAGGTCAATTCCTCCGCTTGTCCGTCAGTCAGTAAGCCAGTCAGCCGATCGCTCGGTCGGTCGGTCGCCCGCCGCCCGGTCAGAGGATGGACGGGAGGACGAGAGTGTGGCTGAGCAAGTGAGCCTTCCACCCTCGCCCACCCCTTCGCTGGCTTGACTCCGGCCGAGCAGACTTGCACCCACCCATCTGACGCGCCATCCAGGCAGACCATGCCGCCAATGTCCTTGACAAACGGAGCCTAATGGTCCATATTTTCAAGGTCGGCCGTACAACTCCCTCTGAATGGCGAGCGGCGGAGGCGAACGAGTTTGTTCTTACAGCGCTCAGGCACTCTTCTTCCTCCCTTCCATCTCTCTCACTCCCCCTCTCACTCTCACTCTAAGTGTTCCGAGTATTTTGTGGACTGATAAAATCACTGAGCGCGAGAGCTGAGGAGCCCGCGCCCAGTTATATTGAGCGTCATCGGAGGGAGATTGTTTCACGAAACGAAATGAATACTTTCCGACAATCAGTCGATGGAAGTTCCCTGGATGCGTGAGAGCTCCGTCGCGCCGGTCGCACGTTTCCCTCAAATGTTTCGATCTACGTCCAAGCGAAAAGTGCTGGTGCCAGCACTGATTGAAGAACGGATTAGCTGACTGAGTTTGGGAAAGCTTGCTCGAATTCGAACAAGGGTCACCAACATGTTTCGTGCCCGCTCAGCTGTCAGAATCGGACGGGATTACTTTCGAACGAAACGAGGATTGCACTCGCCGATCTTCCCCAAGAATTGAAACTAATGATAGTCGAAAACCCCGTTCCGTGCTCCGAGATAAAGCCTCCATGGAGGAGAATCCACAAAGATCAAGCGAGCGGAGCGGTTCCATTTCAAACAGCCGAGGAGACGTTGATAGCAGACATTCAGGCCAAGCCGTTCAGTGAGGAGCCTCGTTGCAGCATTCGGGAGAAGATAGAAAGGACACTGACGGAGCGAACGACAAGAAAGAGAATTCTCGGCCAAGCGCAGCATATAGTGACGGAGCGGAACGAGGTCAAATGTTCAAGGTCGCTGGAAGGGGGCGGGCGAATCGTCTGAGATTCGCCCTTGAGGAAATTCGGGAGGGAATTATCGACAGTCGAGCAGCGCTCGAAAGTGCACAAAAATCGGCTGAGCCAATCCCAGATCGACGTGGCTCCTACGCGGGCTCTCGGAGCGTCCCGGAGCTCGCATGCGAGCGGTAAAACCCATATCCTGTTTCTCCACGAGCCTTCCTGGATGCTATACGGAATCGAACCCGTCCATCCCGCAGCGTCTGAAGCAGGAAGGGATAGTTGTGCCTATCTGACCGGTGCGGAAGAGAAATCTAGTACGCTCCTCGTGTGCTCGTGCTCATTCATGATCGTCTATTCCTAGTACCTTGTCCATGTTGCAACATTTTGTAGAGCTCCATATTACACAGGGCTTCCTGACTTATGTTACACCAGCGAGCCGCCAGGACGAGAAGTTTTCGGGCCAACAAGTAACTCGACGTCAAGTCAGATCCGAAGGACGGCAGCCACCTCGCGATTCCGAGCGACGACCGCGCGCAAGAGCCCATCAGGCAGACATTTTGTCCGAAGATAACACTACCAGCAAATCAGAGCACTTTTTCGGCATCCTCATCGAGAACAAGCAGCAGTCGCGAAGGGACGGACGCTCTGGACCTCGAGCCATCATGTAATGCAAAGCGCCTCAGTAGTCAGCCAAGTGGAACTAAATCCGTCCTGGCGTGAGCAGTTGGATCTTGCCCTCCAACTGCTATTCCTATGTGGCTCGACTCCGAAGCTCATCTAGCACCTGCCAATCTGGCAACGCGTGGTGGTCAGACGCCTCCACACCAGCTTCCGATTGCCCAGCCTGTCGGAGAACAAGGCTGTGACAAAGTGACGTACAGCAGAAGCGCCGTCGACGAGTCCGGTAGACGCGGAGGGAAATACCTTCACTTCTCCTCCCGCCCCCTCCTCTCACAGGGAGAAGGTCCCCAGGAGTCCGGAGCTTGAACAATATACACCCCATCTGGAGAGAAAGGTGAAGAGTTGGGGGGGGGCGTCGCCATGTAACTCCCTAAGCATTGTCCGCCGAGTTATTCTTGTTGCG